TTCAAGCATTAAGTCATTAACCATAGAACCATAGCTATAGCTTGCTTGCCACTTGCAAAGAAAGAGCTTTTTAGAGTAAAGTAAGGCAGTAAAGCACAGACATGGCATGCGGATAATCAGTTTCAGAGCTACAAGTCCTTTTATCATCATCTTATTCCATACCAGGTTCTACCTGAACTAGTACAGCTGGTTAGACTTAAAAAAGAATTCATGCCCGACAGAAATTGACAACAAAGGATGAGATTTAGTGTTTATTCATGAGGATGTCATAAGAGAGGTTAGGCGACATGGTATAACCAGCGGCAGCTATGAATTTGTCCACCACTCCGTGGGTGAATTCCTGCATCTCGAATTCAATGTCTTCAGTCAGCTCTTCCGTCTAGTCTATCAGTTTCATCTAGATTGCATTCCATATCAAGAAATTACTTAAGAAATGTGACATGTGTGCGTCAATGAGTGCAAAGACCAGGTTCTACCACTGCAGGGCTCAATCATGCTAGTTAGGCTATATGCTTAACACATGCTGTTCGGTATGGGTCATTCCCTCTGTGCTCTACTGTCTTTTGTTCACTCTTTAGTTGACATGGAAGCTTTAGTGCCACGTTCAAGCTCAAAGCAGTGAAAGCAAGTCAAGCAGTACCAGATGCTGACGAAATAGCGGCTTAAACGGATCCATCTTCTTGAATGGAACTCCTACCCGGAGGTGACATCGCTAGCCTTTGGGCGTAGTTAAGACTGATTCCTTCCTGCCTTGGTCACCACAGAAGCAGAACCAAAGCGAGCAGGACCAGTACCCTTAGTTGTTCTATACCTTGCAGAATAAGGGTTCAACTACCCGGGATGAAGTTGCATTTGGGGGTAATATGCAACTCTAACAGCTAGGTTTCTAGAGGTCCTTCGGGTCACTCTACTCTTTGTTTTCCAGGCGGGAATGCCCATTGTTCCCTACTCTAACTCCTCCGATTTCCCTTTGAATGAAGAGAAGAAAGAATAGGAAGCGGATCTTTATTAGAATGAATATTCAGCTGAAGTGGAATGTGATAGATTGGAGCAATGTAAATTCATAATATTCTACTTGTTCCTTAGTAGTTGGATCTCTCACCAACCTGCACTGCCTTTCTTTCGTTTGCTGCCTAACTGATAAAGGAAAGCAGGAAAGGTAATCCGGTAATGCAGTCAAGCAAGCAGTTACAGTAGTGGGAATTCCCCCTCGTAAGGCCGACAACAGGAAATCATTGTACGAAATGTCACTCTTGGCAAAATGGCCCTCCTCCCGCTAAGTAAAGGAATTGACTTGCATTAAAAAATCCTTTAGTAAGTTCCAGAAAGAAGCAAAGGAAGTGCTGCGCTTAAGGCTCGATTCAATAATGCCTTTTTCAGGCCATCGCATATCTGATTGATCGGGAGATCTAATGAAAAGTCAATCCGTTCCGGCTCCTCTCCACTTCAAAGGTAAAGATCCGCTCCGGCTATGACCTACGGCAGGCCTTTTAAATGCATCTTGTACGTCTTACTTCATCTGTGATAGGGGACGCTTCTTGCCTTCTTTCCACTCTTTTTTCAACAATCCACCCTATAAGTGACGTTTAGGTAAGCTTATTTCGAGAGCAGGTCTGGTCTTATCGAGGGTCCAATCGAGAAAAGAACTCCAAAAGCAGCGCTCTATACAAGAAAAGGGCTTTCAAAAGGCACTTCTCCACTTTTTAATAACTACCGAAGAAAGGACTTCCAGAGAGGTTAGTTACTTTTGAATCGGGTTACTAGCCTAGGGAGATGAAATGAAGGATTTGTAACTTCTCGAATAAAAGGGGAAAGCCTATCCTTTAGGCACCCAAACTTACTAATAGAAAGAGTAGGGGTATAGTCAGCCGCTGTAATCTAATCCGCCAATCATGGAAGGGAGGCCCAAAAGACGTCGTCAGTTATTATTTCCATTTTTTTTTTTTCAATAGACTTGGCAGCCCCAGACCACGGAAAGCTACTCGACCAATAAAAAGGGAGCCGAGCCGGTTCAGATTCCTAACCCCTGGAATAACTGGAGGCGATGGCTTCGCTTTCTGAGCTCGGTTGGCTGCCCTTCCCTCTCGGACATCAAGGCCCGCTGGCTGAAAGGTTACATCCTATTAACTTCATCTTGGCAAAACGAACACGCTCTATGTCAGACATGCCATACCAATCTGTGAAGATATGATATTAGGGTCCAACTTTCCATCATATTCAGGGACATCAACTTTGACTCTCCTAGTAATGTCTCTCATGACCATACCTAGGAGGTTGTGGTGAACGCCTGTTGTGTCTATCTGGAACCCTAGCATGGGGTCCGACTGGAACTCTATGGGTTGGTCCTCATGAAAATGATCACCATCATCAAGTGCCGCCCTAGGATCTAAGGTTGGAAGGAGATCACCATCAGGGGGAAATCTTACAGTTGGTCTAGTCCTTGCGAGTCTGATACCATAAACATAGACTAAGGAGATAGACCTATTGATATGTATTCAACCTACCCGCTTCTCTTATAGTATTGACCAGAGATGACATGACTCCTTACGCATTACGCATGAACTCTGTCGACTAGAGTACCAATGGAAGACGACCCTATGCTTTCCTTTATGGGCTTTCACGATCATAAATCATAAATAGGGATTGATATCGTTGTAAGGAATGGGACCCTTCTTCATCGACCGTATTCTCCTACTTCTTTTTGTTATCGGTCATAACGAATCGATGCCTACCTCTGGGCGGGAGGTGTCCTAATGTCCTTCGCTAGCTACTTGCTTTGCTACCTTTCAAAGAGCCGGGACGAATATGAACATGAACCGGAGCTCCTTCTTTGAGATCTTCTCCGGGCACAAACCAAGCAAATCTCAAGTCTCAATCGTAGCTTCTTCGAATCTCTCTATTTAAGTCATTTCACTTTTATGATTATGTGTTTTTTTTTCTACGCACACTAGTGAAGCGCGCTCACGTAAAACAAACACACGAACTGAACTTAGGGTTTGGTTTTTCAGACGGCCAAAACTCCAGTCAGCACATTTTATTTTACAATACAGTACTACTTTATTATATATTATAATAATAACATAAGAAACATGATACATGCAAACACAAAAAAGAAAAAGCAATCTACTTAGGATAGATAGGAAGGATAGGAGTAGATCTCCACGAAAGAAAGCCCTAAATTAAAAGACAAACTACTGTGGGTCGACGGACCCTTTATTTTAATCTTATAGAAAGAGCTAATGCTCATTTCTCGGGGGATTGGGGGGGGGATTTGTTCTTTCCGAAAATTTATTGCATTGTTTACTTTAAATATCAAATTTCCGGTCGAAAAAACGAGGGTTCATTTTTTAACTGTTAAACATAGGGTAGGGTGCCCGTTTCATAGGTCATAGGGGAAGGTGGGTGGGATCGCGATCGACTAACAGGGAAGTCACGCGATAGCGGAGATATTGGTTCAAATCCAATTCTATCGATGGCAGGATCGAGAGTTGAGTTTACGTACTATACTTTGTCAGTTATAGCATCCTTTGTGTGGTCATAGATAGCTCGATGACAAGAAAAGAAGTATAAATAGTTTGTCTTGGAGAGGTCTTTTTAAGAACTCTTCTTTCAACGTAGCATCCCAGAAAGGAAAGAAGAAGGTTCCTAAAATACAATCATTTTGATGTTCAGCATAATCCCCGTGAAAGAGTGGCTCGTAAGAGAGGAGGAAAGAGGTCAATGTGCATATTTAAGTGGAATCTTTTACTTGGTTCTAAGTCAGCTATTTCTTCATTCTCGAGCGGTAAGTGAGAATATAATAAAAGTTGGGGAGTGCTTGCTGATGTAGCTTTGGTGTCTATTTTTGTCCGTATCCACGCAGCTTTTCCCTTTTGAGTATCGATTTATCCGAAAAACATTCAATCTAGCAATAACCGATATGGCCAATAAGCGCACTCAATAGTTAGTTAATGAAGCGATTCCTTCGATGTAAGGCAGTTATTATGAATGATGTTTTTACAAATCGTAGTTGCCCAAGAAAGACCTTCTATTAGGGGTCCGGTGCATTCCATTTCGAAAGAATTGGCTTACGAAAAGACTTAAGGAATGGAGACACTTTAGAAGGGCTGAGACTATTGCTTAGTAGCTTATGGGCTCGTAGCGTAGACGTTAGGATTTGTAATCGACACGGATTCATATTCAGCTAGGAAGACACATAGGAAGTCCGTAGTGGAAGCTAACCCAAGTCAAGCCATAAAATCATCCACTTACGATATATTCCATATCACCTTAAATACGGTCAGATTCACATTTTGAGTAGTACCAACGGCGAGATCCTTCTATTCGGGGTCTTCTCTTCCATCAACAGAGCTAACCGCACCACTAGTAGCCACTCGAGAGTCCAATCGGGGATTTCTTTAAGCTAAGCCGTTTAATGGGATTAGTTCCCTTCTTCGTCTACTTTGTCTCGTGAGCTTCCACTTCCTTTCTACATGGTAAGTTGAATTAATCAGTCTTTTTGGCTCAGCCACCAGGCTTTGTTGACCCTGCTCGTCCTAAACATGTCTGTAAGTTACATCGTTCGATTTATGGTTTACGACAGGCTCCACGAGCTTGGTTTCAGAGTTTTAGCTCTTCACTTGTTGCCTTGGGTTTTAGCTGTAGTCGAGCTGATCCCTCGATGTTTATCTGGCGATCCTCCTCTGAGATAGTGATTCTTCTGCTCTATGTGGATGATATCATTTTTACAGGTTCTTCATTAGCTGTTCTTCGTTCATTTCTTTCTAGACTCTCTTCAGAGTTCTCTATGAAGGATCTAGGTGACATTCATTATTTTCTTGGGATTGAGGCTTGTCGTACACCACAGCACTTGCTTTTGACTTAGTCCAAGTATGTACTTTCTTTGCTTTCTCGTCTGAATATGAGAAATTGCACACCAGCTTCTACTCCTCCTTCTCCTTTCTGATAGGATCATCGTTGGTCCTTGTGACATAACATTCTCGGCCCTCCTCGCCAGGAGGAATCTCATGGCCAGAGATCAAGGCACAGATCGATCCGAAGCGGATTACTAAACTAAAGAGATGCGAAAGCTAGAGGACCGGCTTCGGTACATCAATCAATCACTGGCTTCGCTCCTGCAGCGCGCTTCTTCTCCTTTGCAGCGCTACTCTCCCCACCACAGCTCTTTTTTAGCCTCTTATACCCTACCACTTTCTCTCGGCCTATCCAAATCCATATCCTTATCAGACAAGGTTACTCCGGAACCTCATATCTCAAAGAGGTTCTTTCTGATATTGAAAGCAAGCTTTGTCTCATCTTCATGAACAGCCACCAAAAGCTGTTATTCCTAAAACAGTGGCAACAACGGCAACAGCCGATAAGAGAACACCGCTTATTCCTCCATTGAGCCTTACCTTGTGCTATTCCTCTATAGCAATTCATTTTCTTGTTCACAGAGCGAGAGCGGATTAAACAAGGAGCAATTCGTGTGACAACAGAAGGATCGGGAATAGCTTTCTTTTATTTAGCCTGGATTGTTACAAATTCCAATGTCGTTTTCTTCGTGAGCCCAATAGCTACTCCTTCTTTTTTCAGATCAAAAAGGATTTGTTTAAGTTTTTCGAGGTACAAAAAGGACATTACGGGGTATCTCAAAAATTCGATGTACTTCTTCAAGTGTGGGACACATCTCATCTTTGCCGAATCTAAAAACCATCGTCTTTGCATCCCAACACTTCACTGCGGCTATGATCAGATCCCAGTGTTGGTTCACTTTTTTTATCCTAAAAAAAAGATTCTGATCTACTGTTCTCAATGCTGTTAAGCAGCTCCTGATCGCAGGAATCATGCCTTCGCTTCGAAGGTGCGCTTTTTTCATTCGGCAAAGACCTTCAGATAAACGATGGACCCGCCATTCTACATGATGAAGCAGTTTTAAAGAAAACTCTCCATCAAAGTAGTGGACATTTCTGACATCTCTTTACACCCTGCTTGTAATAGGGTTTCCATGATTTTCTTTATTTTGTTGGCAAGCATTTGGCTGTTGACGTGTCCTCCGTACCCACGTGAATGAGGCTTGTTCAACAATATGCGCTCCTTCTTCCTATTAAGTAAGGGAGGGCGAATACCCCTTGAAGGACCTAAAGGACTTATCCAAGATCAAAAATCGTCGGGCAAGCTCCCTCCTCGTGGATGAAAGGAAGCAATGCCAAGTGTCAAGGGAGTCTCTTCCCGGACCGGTGAGCGTGAAAGCCATGCTATCAAGAAAGAGAACCAGCCCCTCTTCAGTATAGGCAGGTCTTTCTTTAGAACAGATTCATTCCAGAACAGAAAACCTAATTTAGAATAAGAATCGGAGCCTATCGATAGAACGAACAACACACCAGCGACCAGACTTGCTACGCTAGTAGGGCTTGTGGGCAAAGCAAGAGATCTTATCTTTTCCTTAAGGATAAGGAAGTCTACCTCACCCTCGGGGGGAGTTGTTGAAGCATTCCTCTTAAATAGCCTTTGGCTTACGTAAGATCTATCTCTTCTCTTCTCTAACTGCTATTCTTTGAAAGAGCCACGCACAACAGACTTGCTCCCATGCCATGTAGCGAAGAAAGCTTTCAGTCCTTATTCCCTTCAAGGGCAAGGGGGGAAACCTCTAAAAGATCTTTTTTAAACCAGCAAACAACATTTCTTAATAAACGCAGGAGCCCTTCCTGAGCTATGCCTCGAAGGGCGAAACCTAAGACGCGACATCTAGCTAGCGACTTCTAAGCCTTATCCTAGTGCTCATCCTACTCCTACTGCTAATGCTATTGCATTACTGCTTCCTTTTCTGTCACACGCCATTCTAACAGCTTGAAAACAAGCCCTTCGTCGCTAACTAGAGTGCCAAAACCCAGGCAATTAAAGCAATGATCGACTGTCCCTGCCCATTCTAACGGGGCATTCTCTAGCAGCTCCAAGACAAGAGCTGAGAAGGCGAAAACAGAACAGTTGAAAAGGCATGAAAGAAGGTAGTCACTTCTCTCCTTTTCTTTTGTTTTATGGCATGAGCTTCTTCGGATGCTATCGTCTCTTATCAATTGGCAATGAGCTAATCGAATAGATGGACAGATTCGTCTGCTGTCAAAAGCTATTGGGGATCCATTCTATTACTATTTTTTATGTCACTTCGAAGCAGTAAGCACATCTATCTCTTTTCGGCTCCTGGCTTTGGTAGTAGTAATGCTAATGCCATTTCCTTTCCTAATTTCAATGCCTTACTTCCTTCTCGAAAAGAAGTATTTTATGCTAAGACCGGATTCGATGCATCTAGGGTTTTAGAGAGGCTTTGTGCCTTGCATAGGTGCTATCTTTACTGAGGTTTTTTCTACCTAGCCTAGCTCAATAAGGGAGAGAATGCCCTTACTTGGAATCTCAAGCATTCTTCTTATTATACGAAATAGTTAATCCGATCAATAGCCAAAGTGCTGTGGGACTGTGCCCTCTTGATGCGGATTTCCATCCCTTCTTCCAGCTTTTTCCAAAGGGCTAACAATTGGTTGTGCTAAAGGAAAGCGAAAAGGTATTGGCGAAGAAGTCATGGAGGATCTGATATAGATTGAAAAGAGGGAAAGCTAAGCTAGCTAACGAAGGGGTTGGGATTCGCCTCGCCCTAGTACACCAACCAGGAAGAAACATTTAGTGCTTTTCACCTTTCCGCCAAACCAGAACGAGAGCCAATCGGGTCGATCAGAATGTCCTTCTTTCACAGCGCTATAACATTCTCAAGTTCTAGTCTGACTATCTCTATTCTAAGTAGCACCCGAGAAAGCACACGCTAAGCAGATCTTTACCAAAGCCATATCTTCATAAGCATCCAAAGCTACCTACTCATTGGTAGTGAAAAAGCAACAACATAGATATGTTTACGAAGCCAAGAGCTGCTCGCCACAAGACATTTGGTTGAGAAGGATTTGGTAAACCTAGAGATCTTATTCTGGTAGAGGGTAAATCTGTTCTTTCTGCTTCTGCGTATGCTTTTCTTTTAGCATTCGCCTATGCCTGTGAAAGGAAATCGGAAAAGAATAACAAAGGTAGTAGCTAGACTGACTAATTCAGTCTGTCTTTTGGCCTATAGGTCTGACTCACTATTCCTAGTGTCAGAGTCAAGACCAGTGACTGCTACTTACGATAGCACCAGTTTGCCAAATACTGGACGGGGATCAGTACTTCTACGAGGTGCGTATCAGTTCCTTGCCTTAGTTCAATCCCTTCTTGAACAACCCATTCAAACTGGGTGGGCATGATATGCAGCGGATCCTTCTATATGAGATTGAGCCCATTGCTTCATGCCTTCTCGTGAGACCTATCTGCTTAATTCCCTGGGATCACTGAACTGACTTGACGAGATGTCTTCCTTGGTTGGCTAAGATAGATGTGCGGCTTTTTTGGCGGGTTCCATTTAGATCCTTCCTTTTTTTTATGGTCAGTATGCTATCTCAGTCTTGATTCTTTCTTTCTCTAATGAAAGAGAAACGAAACCAACCCGATCGATAAAAAAAGGAATCGGCAAGACAGAAGAGATCTTCAGTGTACCGCCCTCGATCAAACTATCAATATCGTATGAGAAGCAAAAGAATGTTACCTTACGCCCAACGTCAGCGTGAATCTCTTTCCCGGCTGTTAAACCAGCTTAGTAAAGATGAGAACAGGTGAAGAGATTTTTAACATTTGAATTTCTCTGACATTCCACGTTTCCGAAACGGATCCTATCAAATATTTTACATTTTCTATGATCATCTCTATTTTAGGTATTCGGGGAATCCTCCTTAATAGACGAAATATTCCTATTATGTCAATGCCAATTGAATCAATGTTATTAGCTGTGAATTCGAACTTTTTGGTATTTTCCGTTTCTTCGGATGATATGATGGGTCAATCATTTGCTTCATTGGTTTCAACGGTGGCAGCTGCGGAATCAGCTATTGGGTTAGCCATTTTCGTTATCACTTTCCGAGTCCGAGGTACTATTGCTGTAGAATTTATTAATTGCATTCAAGGTTAAACATGACTCCTAGAGAATTACCAAAAGACGAAGTTCTCTTTTCTCCTTTCGTTTTGATTTTGACTTGGTTGGCAGGGTCAGGGCCTTTCTCGCTGGGCGAGCGCATCCGATGGATTCTAAAGTCCTTTCCTAAACCACTTCCCGTTCAGTTGCTGAAAGATAGATAGAATCTAAATGAGATTGAGTTCCACGAATATGCAAGCTAGAAAGATGCTATTTGCTGCTATTCCATCTATTTGTGCATTAAGTTCGAAAAATATCTCAATCTATAATGAAGAAATGATAGTAGCTGGTTGTTTTATAGGCTTCATCATATTCAGTCGGAAGAGTTTAGGTAAGGCTTTCAAAGTGACTCTCGACGGGAGAATCCAGGCTATTCAGGAAGAATCGCAGCAATTCCCCAATCCTAACGAAGTAGTTCCTCCGGAATCTAATGAACAACAACGATTACTTAGGATCAGTTTGCGAATTTGTGGCACCGTAGTAGAATCATTACCAATGGCGCGCTGTGCGCCTAAGTGCGAAAAGACAGTGCAAGCTTTGTTATGCCGAAACCTAAATGTTAAGTCAGCAACACTTCCAAATGCCACTTCTTCCCGTCGCATCCGTCTTCAGGACGATCTAGGCACAAAGTTTCACTTATTAGTTAGGAGGAGATTTTGCCCCCAGTGTATCTCGAAAGCAGAAAAAATAGAACTCATTCGAGAGAGCTTGGTGGTCTTAAGAATGGTTCGGGTGGGGGTTCTCTTAAGAATAAATAAGACGAATAGAATCTAATTCATGTTCATGCTAACAGAAGAGCGGATCCAATACACAGACAACTTCTTTCTCAAAAAGTACTTGCTGCACTTCTTTCTCATGAAGCTGCTTTGCAAGAAAGGAGTTAGTTCCCTCCGGGGGTTCTGATAGCCAATGCTTCCTACGCTCCAGCCCTTAGCCCTGAACTCCTTAGCGCAAGCACTAAGTAAGCCCGTGAAGGCCTTCAATATCGCACCTACTAGGACTGAAATTTCGTTTTCGAATAGGACTACTTCTTTCTTTTCTGTACGCTAGGGTCGTTCGGGCGGAAAACCTAGTTGCGTACTGGGTGAAGCTTAGTCCCTTTGGACCTTTCAATCTCGCAACTTTATTAGATTAGCTAGGGCCGCCCGCACGCTTTAAGGGTTGTTGAAGGTATTGCACTAAGAAAGACTCACTCCTGCCGTTGCTATGCTAAAGGTAAGATTTTCTTTTAAAGCCGCTCAAGCAATTTCTTTAAAAAAAGAAGAGCAAGCAAGACAAGATAAGGCTCGAAAGCTGCGAAGAAAGTCGAGCTGCTCTAATCGAGCTGTGAAATCGGTGTGGTGAGGTATTGGAAGTGTTCAGCGAATATATATAAAGACACTAAAAAAGAGCACCGTGCTATACTGGCAGAGCTTCCGCAAAACTAGGTAGGTAGCTTTCGCTAATGAGAGATGGATTTGGGGATTAGATTAGGTCTCCTAATTCATGGAATTTGTTTTCTCTTGCTTGATTAGTTTCTTTTTAAAGCAGCATTCTCCCTTTACTCGATCTTTAATTGAATTATCGATAGAACGTTGATCAATATTCAGGAAGAGATCGAGGATCACAGCAGGATCCTATCTGATCTTTGTCAACACAGGACTCGAAGCCCCCTGCTCAAACAAAAGGGTAATCCTTCGGAATTGAAAATTCCTTTCGGATTTCTTATATTAATTATAGTGGAGGGGAGAAGACTCATTTTGAATTCTATCTATATAGGGGGGGAGCCATTGTGAAGCCTAGAGAGGCGGAAGCGGCAAATCGCTTCTACCGAGTTCCACAACAGCAGCTTAGCTTAGTAGCTTAACTCTTTCTACTGGCGTGGCGCTGCTGGATGCTTCTGATCAATAGAACAGGAAGAGGAGTCAGCCAAAAAGAAAGACCACCAAAAGTAACGACCACCAAGATACGCATAGTGATTCGATCTTTTGATCACCCTTTTTTTGAAAACCATTTTGGGGGGCTTCCGCCTTACACACGGAAGATTGGATTGCCTGAATCACGAGTCTTATATACTGTGTTACGATCACCTCATATTGATAAAAAGTCCAGAGAACAATTTGAAATGGAAATCAAGAAACAATTTCTGGTCATAAAAACAGAAAAGCATGAATTGCGCAAGAAGTTCTTTCGGTTAAAACGCCGTGCGACTCGGAGGACATAAGACTTCTTGGTCAAGCCAAAAAGATTGCCGGCAGAATGCTCCTACCCCACCATGCCTGGCCCTTTACCTTACCTTAAGAAGAAATGGGGGGTATGAAGCGTGGGAAAGAATGAAAGAAGTGTCTGATACAACAGGTAACCTTAAGGAGTGGCGGCAAAGCTCTTGATTGATCAACGCGAGTGAACTGTGCTTAGACGCTTCGTAAAACCGCACCGATCTACGAGAGGAGCTGATGGATGAGTAGGCTTCCCCTTTCGATTTAAGGAATGTGATCTGGGACACGATGGGGGTTTGCGTGCCTCGGTAGGAAAGAGATCACCGGAGTATAGCACAAGATCGCCTTTTTTTTTCTTGCTGCCATGGGGTCGACCTGTAAACAAGGTAAACCCAATGGGAACCAAAAACGGGAGGGTACCACATTGACATTGGGCAGAAGACGATCCAAAAAGCGAAGGCTCACCCAGCTGAAGGCGATCGGCAGTGAGGGATGCTTACCTTCTTCTTAGAGAAAGGGGAAAGGGGCAACCTATCTGACTAATAATAAGAAAGGGGGTGAGATAGGCGACAGGTAGCTTGCTTCCAAGCCGGCCCGGCCGCGAGGAATCAAGAGATCTTTGCCGGTGCTTACTTGGATCTCGGGTGACGGAATAAGGCGCCCAGAAGCGACGAGCAGTCGCGGTCGAAGCTTGGCTCTAGGCGATAGGCGGCTAGCAGTAAGCTTGGCTACAGCGAAGCGCTTACCAAGCGCGAAGGATTCGTTCCTCTCCCAGCAACGGATGCCAAGGGTAGAAATGGGCGCGGCTTTCGCGCTAGCGCTCTCTCGTTAGCCGTTGCTTGTTTGGGTCGAGCTCAAACCTTCGCCACTTGAGCCGTATGCGGGGGAACTCGCACGTGCGGTTCTTAGGGGGGAGAGCTAGTAGGAACCATCCTATCCCAATAGCGTATATTTGGAGCTCAATATGAAATCCTATTTTCTTGCAAGACCCGTTCGGATAAGGGAAAACTCCAGAGATTGCTTCGAAGTAAGATCCTTGCGTTGACCCTTTCCTGAACCAGAACCGGGGGGGGGAGGGGTTGAGAGGAAAGAAAAGGGGATCCAAATTTCCCATCAATAAAGTGAGGGCTTTCCGGACCTTCCCCACCCCTCTTTCCATTCTTCCTTCCCCTCTCACTCCCCCTTTTTCAAGAAATAAGCCCCGCTCCCTAAGAAGGGGCCCCTCTCTGATAAGGAAGGAAACGAAAGAATCTCCATTTTATGACAAATCCGGTCCGATGGCTGTTCTCCACTAACCACAAGGATATAGGGACTCTATATTTCATCTTCGGTGCCATTGCTGGAGTGATGGGCACATGCTTCTCAGTATTGATTCGTATGGAATTAGCACGACCCGGCGATCAAATTCTTGGTGGGAATCATCAACTTTATAATGTTTTAATAACGGCTCACGCTTTTTTAATGATCTTTTTTATGGTTATGCCGGCGATGATAGGTGGATCTGGTAATTGGTCTGTTCCGATTCTGATAGGTGCACCTGACATGGCATTTCCACGATTAAATAATATTTCATTCTGGTTGTTGCCGCCAAGTCTCTTGCTCCTATTAAGCTCAGCCTTAGTAGAAGTGGGTAGCGGCACTGGGTGGACGGTCTATCCGCCCTTAAGTGGTATTACCAGCCATTCTGGAGGAGCAGTTGATTCAGCAATTTCTAGTCTTCATCTATCTGGTGTTTCATCCATTTTAGGTTCTATCAATTTTATAACAACTATCTCCAACATGCGTGGACCTGGAATGACTATGCATAGATCACCCCTATTTGTGTGGTCCGTTCCAGTAACAGCATTCCCACTTTTATTATCACTTCCGGTACTGGCAGGGGCAATTACAATGTTATTAACCGATCGAAACTTTAATACAACCTTTTCTGATCCCGCAGGAGGGGGAGACCCAATATTATACCAGCATCTCTTTCGGTTCTTCGGTCATCCAGAGGTGTATATTCCCATTCTGCCTGGATCCGGTATCATAAGTCATATCGTTTCGACTTTTTCGGGAAAACCGGTCTTCGGGTATCTAGGCATGGTTTATGCCATGATCAGTATAGGTGTTCTTGGATTTCTTGTTTGGGCTCATCATATGTTTACTGTGGGCTTAGACGTTGATACCCGTGCCTACTTCACCGCAGCTACCATGATCATAGCTGTCCCCACTGGAATTAAAATCTTTAGTTGGATCGCTACCATGTGGGGGGGTTCGATACAATACAAAACACCCATGTTATTTGCTGTAGGGTTCATCTTTTTGTTCACCATAGGAGGACTCACTGGAATAGTCCCGGCAAATTCTGGGCTAGACATTGCTCTACATGATACTTATTATGTGGTTGCACATTTCCATTATGTACTTTCTATGGGAGCCGTTTTTGCTTTATTTGCAGGATTTCACTATTGGGTGGGTAAAATCTTTGGTCGGACATACCCTGAAACTTTAGGTCAAATCCATTTTTGGATCACTTTTTTCGGGGTTAATCTGACCCTCTTTCCCATGCATTTCTTAGGGCTTTCGGGTATGCCACGTCGCATTCCAGATTATCCAGATGCTTACGCTGGATGGAATGCCCTTAGCAGTTTTGGCTCTTATATATCCGTAGTTGGGATTCGTCGTTTCTTCGTGGTCGTAACAATCACTTCAAGCAGTGGAAATAACATAACAAGGGCGAACATTCCTTGGGCTGTTGAACAAAATTCAACCACACTGGAATGGCTGGTACAAAGTCCTCCAGCTTTTCATACTTTTGGAGAACTTCCAGCTATCAAGGAGACGAAAAGCTATGTGAAGTAAAAGAAGAAAAGGTCGCCGACTGCTACTAAGAACCTAACAGAACTTTTCAAAATGTGGGTTCCAACGAAGAAGAGTTGAGGACCAACTTCGACCTAATTTAAGAGTTAAGAAAGCCAGCTCAACTCCATTTAACAGGTTAGTAGCGAAAGGTAAGGCTTCATTCCCGAGTGGACGAGAAGAAGGAGCAAGCCCTATTTATTAAGGGAAGAGAAGAAAGGTTTACTAGACTAGCTACCGAGCTGACTCAAGGAAGCCGGAAAGAAAGGGCTTCCAGACAGCTTCGGCAACATAAACTCGAGCTGAGGAATACGGAAGAGAAGCGGATTCCACTCAATCTTAGCCTAAGAGCAGTTCAGAGAAGAGAATCAAAGGTCAACGGCCAATGGAGGATTTCTCCCTCCCCCGGATTCATCTTAAACCGACCGATATGCCGAGATGACATCCAGCACGAGAGCAAGAAAAGGAAATGGTCTCCGTGCAGCTTCAAGTCACGCCACTCTCACCAAGATAGAATCATGGTCACATCTGTAGTATATAGTTTATAGAAGCGGAATGCCAATCGACACTGGTAGCCATCGGGATTGAGTTCAGCTGCTTTTGACGATACTGACGAATGAGTAAACGGAAGAATGAATCAGATGAGCTCCAGTCTGGACTCTCATTGGTCAAACAGGCGCAACGGGCCAAGAGATAATAAAAGGACACCAGAAGAGCAAGAAAAAGAGCTGTATGATAAGAGTCCTTATCCTACCCACCCAATTTATTTAGTTTATGGGAGTAGCAAGAACAGCTCAATTTAAAAGGTTAGCCGCGTACCAAAGAGCTCGATCAGCTATTCTATTTTTAAGTCCGGTTGACGCCACTCGATAGGAAGAAAAGAGCATAAAGGTTTTTCGAAGGCTTCAAGCCCTGTTTCAGCTGAGAGCATGGATTCCCCTGGCACCTCTCTTCCACAGCTTGGCACGTTTAAAGAAGGTGCCTACACTAAAGTGTACAAAGTGGCATAAAGTGATTCTTTTCGGGTTCGGTCAGGAGGGACAAAAGAGAGATGCTTTCTATCAGTCAAAAGCAGATACCGCCCCCCCTCATGCTCCCACGGTCCGCTTACCGAGGAATAGAAAGGGAGGACCGGGGGCCAGAGCAAGTTGGGTTGGTTGGGGTATAGAGCCGTAAGCGCGGTGGGGGGGTGACAGAGGACGTGCTCGTACGGTTCAAAGAAGGGTATGATCAACTCGTTGATTGTTGGGAACTTTCACTCCTCTATATTCGAAATATGCCTTTCTAGGAGCATTACGATCTGCAGCTCAAATGGTCTCTTATGAAGTCTCTATTGGTCTTATTCTTATTGTGCGCCTTGTGAGCGCGTTTGGATCCGCGAAGGCAATCGCTCGGATGTTCCCCTAACCCAACCCGGGAACGGACCGGAGGGAACCGCAGCATGGGGAATGTCCGCGTCTCGTCGCAAGGCTCATTTTTCGTTTTTGGTCATAGGGCGGGCGGATTTCTCTGATCAAGGGCCGGGGCACAAGGGTCCTGGTACTATCCAGGTGCGAAGAACCCCGGAGGTGACTGCAATGAGCAGAAATCTCACTCACCGGCCTAAACGACGAGCAAACACTCGAACGTGAGAGCAAGGGATCACCTAACGAATGGACGAGCTCCAAGGAGGGAGGAAAGAGGAAGGCAAGAACCATGCTTTCAGAGAAGTGGCGGTCCGAATCTTATCTGAACTGCGAGAATAACTGACTAAGCCATGCCATAAGGGTCATTCTCCAAACGGGACGGGGTCAAGCCTTTAGATTTTGGAGTAGGTTGGGTGACAGATCGGCCATAGGAGTACTCCGGGATATAAACCAGGGCAACCAATGTCGAGCATACGACGATGCCGCCCGTTTTCATTTCGTGGAAGTCCCCGGCAGAGGAAAGGGCTGTAGGTGATGGCGCGTTCTGCTTCTTATCTAGAGAGGGGCGCTGAAATCGTTCCTATTGGGTCGTGCGTGGCAGCTGGTATAGATGAATAAAGGCGGGCCGCTTGAACGGGACCTATTCTCTTAATAGGCGGCAAAGCTGAATAGGAAAGGGGCCGAGCTGACTGATGAGTGCCTTTTTAGCCTTTAAAAAAAGGGCTCTCTCATGTGAAGCTAACATGGCTGGCTACATACAAGTATAGCCAAATCAAGATGAGACGTGACGGCCTATATTCCCACCAACAGAGGCCGCAGCGGGACTCTCATAGGAAAGCCCGCCCCCGCTAGCTAACATAGAAAGAGATTCCCGGATAGCAAAAGTCTCTATGTGAATCTCTTCCCGACCAGGCCAGGCCGAATCGGGCCACCACTTGGGATGGGAATGGCTCAGCCCATATGCATCATTTGATGAAAGCACTCCAGTCGCCTCCTCGAAGTGGCTTGTCAACCACGCTTTCCCTCCCTCAAAACAATGCTCCTCACCAACCTTAACGGCCTTGGGTTGGGGCAAGACAGCTATGAGTAGTTCGCTCCAGGACCCCCTCGAGAGCAGGATGCCGGCCGAGATGGAGCTGGGAGCCAACCTATACTTTCCTGGGGCTTGCCTTGCCCCAACATCTAAATCAAATGCGGGCGCCGAAAAGGAACCAGCCCAGCCTCTTCAAGAAAGCTTTGCTTGGTAGGCGCTGCCTATTCACTCGGACAATGCTCTAAACACGAAAGTGTGACGCCCCCTTCTCCCATGCTGAGTCACAGGCAGCGCCTCGGAAAGCGCGGACGAGCCACATGCAGGGAAACTTGCACGTGTGGTTCTGGCCGGGACCCCGGTATACTGTACTAATATGTGTAGGTCCCCGTAATTCGAGTGAGATTGTCATGGCGCAAAAGCAGATATGGTCCGGTATTCCCTTGTTCCCTGTATTGGTTATGTTCTTCATTTCTCGTCTAGCAGAAACTAATCGAGCTCCGTTTGATCTCCCAGAAGCGGAAGCTGAATCAGTTGCAGGCTATAATGTAGAATATGCGCGGGATGCGATCCTTAATAGTCCACTGTTGGCGGAAGCCAATGTCCCGGGGTCCCGGGGACTCATTCTGACTTAAACAAGGGGTGGGTCTTTACCAACTTAAAAATCTTCGATTTTAGGTAAGCCGAAAAACGTGAGCGCCCCTACGCGAGCCTTATTGAAAACGAAAGTCTATTTTAGATTCAATATGTATTCTATTAATGCGCTCAAGCATGCGAAGAAAGCAACAAGCGAGAAAAGCCCTTTCTATGTTATTAGTAAAGTCACGCTTTTCATTTGGATAGGAGTAGGTGCTTGCTGGGGCAGGGCACTCTTCATTCTTCATTCGAAACTAATGAATGTCGGGTCGGGGGTTTCTGCCTTGTTATCAAAAAGGGAGTTGGGTAAAGCAAACTCCCTCCTTGGACGAGCACGGGGCTTAGTCAAGTAGAACCGGGTTGCGCTGCTTGATGCTCCGATCGAAAACAAATCAGTGGGGCCATGCCGGTACGACTGAATATGCGTTAAAAAGGTCAATCCCTCCCCTACGACACCAAAAAAAACCGGGCCGAACTTCTAACAGCCCGCCCGCTTCCATAGAACAATATCGTGGCAACGTAGACCTAAGTGGTCATATATATTGGATCTTTGGGAACCATCACAAGTGCGGCCGGCCTATATTTAAACGAGAATGCCGTGTCGTCCAGCGGAGCCTAGAAGAAGGTGACTCGCGCAGACAGCTGACTCCTTCTTTTCAATAGAAAGGAATAGAACAAACCAACCCAGCTGGCTGGTCAATCTCAGAGATCTTATCGGCCGGCAAACCGGAGACGGACGACCACGGTCCCGACCTTATCAGCACCGGAGGTGTACTAATCAATGAACCCACCCCCGAAACCTACTTTCTTTTCTGACAAAATCAACCAAGCCTAACCGGTCACGACATGTTGTTGATATTGATTGAGTTTGAGGGACTTTCGCTGACTAAATCCATCCATAAACCTAGACCCCGGCAACTTTCGTAACCAAAGCGTCAAGACAACAGCCAAAGGTCACCTTTGGATTCTTAAGTAGGGGGCAAAGAGGAGCACGTAGGAATGCCGACCACTACATAAGCCACTGGTGGCTGAGAGAAAGCGAGCAGCACCTTGTATAGGTTGGGCGGAAGCGAGCCCCTATCAGAGAAAGCCATTGCGCGCTAGCCTAGCTAGCTAGCTTCAGCTGGCTGTTATGTTAGTTGTAGCGCGCCTTCCCTCCTTCTCTCACTTCGGAAAGATTTCGCAGTCTTTTCTTATGATGACCTGGTCGAGAGAGTACGATACATCGGTGTAAAAGATGGAGTGGGATCTGTGAGGTTGGTTATAGTAAGGCCTGGCCGGAAAGTGTTCTTGCCTCTATCATTGAAGGAAAGGTTGGTCAACAATTTGGAGAGTTTGCTTCTACACGGAAACGAAGACTTTCGAGAACAAATATTAAACCGGGAAGAAAAAAGGGGAAAAAGTAAATAAAGTCTAAGCGCATATGGCACGAAAAGGAAATCCGATTTCGGTAAGACTCGATCTGAATCGTAGTTCAGATTCAAGTCGGTTCAGTGAGGGCGACCGCGAAAGTCACCGAATGGGTCAGTCTTTTCCTTCAGTTTGTCCTATATATATATGTTGAATAAAAACGCTTGGGAGGACGTTGCAGAGGGACGGACACGACTTCTTCTAACGCTAGAAGACCACTGGAAGACACCCGGGACCAGAGCATGTCGTGAAAGAAGCACACTGGGCGGGCGTGCTTCGACCGTGTCTCCGGGGCACAGTTGAATGTAGATATCATGAACGCGAGGTGCAGGATACCAGGCCGAGAAACCCGGGCAACCACCCCCTATGTGCCGATCGCTAGCGCATCCAGGGCCCCGGCGCCCAGCGGAGCTGGAGAGGCCTAGCCTGATCTGAGAAGTGCTAATTAGGTTCGGATAGACTTCATTCAAGAACGCCGCCGCCCCTGGAATCAATAAGAAAACAAGTGCTAAGTTTCAGATCAGTGAATAAACCGAAACGAAAGAAGAAAGAGACCTTTCTCGCTCGGCGCCTAAAGCGCACTATGCTCCGCTTCAACAAATGAGAGTTTTCGGTGGAACCGGTGAACCACGCGAGCTGGTTAGATGCGTGGGACAGAGGGCTCATAGTACCTGCTAGCGCAGCTATGCAGTGGAAGGGAAGGAGCCTAAATCGACCCCCTTCTTTTTTATTTTTCAAATAAAAAAGCAGTACAAAGAGATTAGACTCTCGGATGAGACTAAGCAGCCACCGACCGTTCCGACGCGCCCCTGACCTATTTTTTTTATGAAGACCGAAAACCTATCTAAAATGGAGCCTAGTTTAGGCTGTCAAACAAATGAGAAAATGGAAAATTTGAAATATAACCACTAGTAGGGATATGGATGGAGTCTCGCTCAGTAAAGAGAGTTGTAGATTCGTAGAAAAGAAGAGGAGCCTTGACTTTCTATGATGTTATTAGTCAAGAAGCGCTAACGCTGCAATCTTTCTAAAGCAAGAAGCGAGAAACTTGACTTTGAGAAAGAAGTTGTTGCCGCTTTCTTTTTTTAGTAAGTAAACTAGTTTTGTTTTATAAGGCGAAAGGTTGCTATTTTTATAAAAATTATTATAGCGTTAGCGCTTTAGTTTTCAATAAGTTTAGGCTTGACTAATAACATAGAAATTTGGAATCAGGGTGCGCAGGTTTGGAACCCTATACAAAGGGCCTTTCCCTTCAAATGACAACTGCCTCTTCCTGCTGCGAAGGCCTTGCACGAAACCAACCCCCCCACCCCCGATCCAGTACCAGTTGTTTCGCTGGTAGGCCCACTTAGGTTAGGGGGGCATTGTCCCTCAGTTCTTACCAACCTCCGGTGTGTAATCGACATGTTGCTAACTTCAACTCGGTTGAATAAGAATCATTGATTCCCTTTGCTGTCCATTTCTTATTCATTCAGGGCGCTCGGCCGGTGCTCCTTTTTTAAACCAGAACAACTCTGAACGTTAGAGAAGATAAGGGAAGACCACCTGAGCGAACCGACCGAGGGGACTTGACTTATTCGAACCGAACGATAGCGGCTTAAAGCTAAGCCTATCACGCACGAGCAGCGTCGCTGCTTGATCGGCGGGGAGAAGCATCTCAAAGTATGGGGCAAAGGATCAAGCGCTTTGACTTTGTCTCCCGGGATTCACCACAGGTTGGGTTTGAGAGCCGTGTGATGGGTGACTATCCAGCACGGTTCGGAGAGCACTTTTTGTCTGCGTTGGTGAATGGAAGCCCCTCTATCAAGCAAGAAAGAAGCGGCTATTCCCACGGCGGAGTCACCATTGACTCTATTTATTATTATGGTAAATTAGTGTATCAAGATGTCAATCTGAGATCTTATTTCGGTTCGATACGTCCACCTGCGAGACTAACCTTTGGCTTTCGTCTCGGTAGGTGTATTCTTATACATTTTCCCAAAAGAACATTCATTCATTTCTTTCTTCCCCGTCGACCACAACGACTGAAACGACGCGCAAAATCCAGACCCGGAAAGAAGAAGGGCCGGTGGTGGGCATTTGGGAAAGTCGGGCCGATCGGGTGTCTTCATTCCAGCGACAATACAGAAGAAGAACGAAACGAAGTGAGAGGCCGGAGGGCAGGGAAAAGAGTCGAGTCGATCAGGCTCGACGACCGGGAGAAGCAAAACGAAATTCGGATTTGGCCGAAAAAGAAGCAACGCTATGGATACCATGACCGATCACCATCGATAAAGAAGAATCTTTCTAAATCACTTCGGGTCAGCGGGGCCTTCAAGCATCCGAAAGCCGGGGTTGTAAATGACATAGCGTTCCTGATAGAAAATGACGACTCCTTCAGAAAAACGAAGTTTTTTAAGTTCTTTTTCCCCAAGAAGTCCCGCTCCGACGGCCCGACGAGTCATCTATTTAAAAGGACCCTCCCTGCAGTGCGCCCCTCCTTGAATTATTCGGTCATGCAATACTTATTGAATAGAAAGAACCAAATTCATTTCGACCCCGTCGTAGTTCTCAATCATTTCGTGGCACCGGGCGTGGCTGAACCATCTACGATGGGGGGAGCGAATGCGCAGGGAAGAAGCTTATTTAAGAGAATACGTTCTCGCATCGCTTTTTTTGTAGAAAGCTCGACCAGCGATAAAAAGTCTTTGGCCGAAGCCAAAAAGAGGTTGACCCACTTCATTCGCTTGGCGAATGATCTTCGCTTCGCGGGAACAACAAAAACCACCATCTCGCTCTTTCCTTTCTTCGGTGCTACCTTTTTATTTCCAAGGGATAGAGTTGGTATTTATAATAACCTTTTTTTTGAGGATGCCCGGGAACCACTCCTAGGTCAATTAAGGATCAAATGTTGGAACCTCATGGGTAAGGATAAGGTAATGGAATTGATAGAGAAATTCATAGACCTAGGTAGGATAGGAGAATGGATAAAGGGAATAGAGATGATGATAGAGATCATACTGAGAAACAGAAGAATTCCGTACGGGTACAACTCTTATTTGAACGAAGTGAAAAAAATGCGATCTTTGTTGTCTAATAGAACAAACACTAATACCTTAATTGAGTCGGTCAAGATCAAATCTGTTTATCAAAGTGCTTCTCCGATTGCTCAAGACATCTCTTTTCAACTGAGAAAGAAAACAAGATCATTTCGTTCCATTTTTCGTAGAAAAGTGAAGGATATTCAATTAGTAATGAAAAAAGGGGTTTCGGGGATCCGTATATGTTGTTCAGGTCGATCATCAGGCGCAGAAATAGCTAGAACTGAATGCGGAAAGTATGGAAAAACATCTCGTAATGTATTTAACCAGAAAATCGATTATGCTTCTGCGGAAGTATCTACTCGTTACGGAATCTCAGGTGTCAAAGTGTGGATTTCATATAGTCAAAAAGAAAAGGGACGTGCTATATCCGAAACGTACGAAATTTAGTAAATATCGTAAAGGCAGATGTAGTAGGGGTTGCAAACCAGACGGAACAAAACTTGGTTTTGGAAGATATGGCACTCAAAGTTGTAGAGCTGGTCGTCTTTCATATCGAGCCATTGAAGCAGCGCGTCGGGCTATAATCGGACACTTCCATCGTGCTATGAGCGGACAATTCCGAAAAAATGGTAAGATATGGGTAAGAGTTTTCGCAGATATCCCTATTACCGGGAAACCTACAGAAGTCAGAATGGGAAGAGGAAAAGGAAATCCTACGAGTTGGATTGCTCGTGTGTCCACGGGACAAGTCCTATTTGAAATGGATGGTGTGAGTTTGTCAAATGCTCGACAAGCCGCTACATTAGCGGCGCATAAACCATGTTCGTCAACCAAGTTTGTTCAGTGGTCGTAACGTAATTGGTTAGTGGGGAAAAACCAGGCCGGGATTCAAAAGAATTAGGCGAAGGGTTTGTTCCTGAACGAGGGAAGTGGAAAGACACTAAGGGAGAGGGATATACTCCTTTTTGAATCGCCGAAATTGTACGACTGTTCCAGGCGTACGACCCGGATACGTTACGGTTTTTTTCAGGTACTCTTTCCTGTGATTGTATTGGATATTCATCTTTATGATCACAAGGTGGTGCTTGGGCAGGTCTTCTCTGATTACGTTCGGACGTGACAGGGAAGCCAGGAGGTCCAGGGACATAGCCGCCCTTCCTTAACAAGCCGATGCATTCCCCATCCAGCACTTAACCGCCGAAAAGAAGGGAACGCTGCTTCGCAACTCACCCCGAGAAGGATAGAATAGCTCGACCGGTCCTATCTCTACACATCAACTCATGGTACTCCCTGGGCCCCCTAACAGGTTAGCGACAGCATTCTCGAGGGCCATAAATCAATCATCGCATCTATCTACGGTAGGTAGGTCAAGTTTATAGGTCGAGCACTTTCATACATATAGTAGTTAATCATGATATAAATTCTTTCAAAGCTCGGGATTTCAGTCAGTGATAGACAGCTTGGCTAGCTATCCTCTCAAAAAGGCAATCTCAGTAGTGGCAGGAAGAAAACAGCTCCTAGGCGTACTGATAAGGCTTAACCGGAATAGAATAAGGTTGGATGGGAGTGCGCTTCTTCAATCTAGGAGGTATCCTTATATCTGACTCTTCTTCCACGATCAAAGAGAGGGGAACTCAGACTGACTTCTCTTTTGACTACCGGAGGAGAACCTTACTTATACTGAGTATAAGAGCAGGTCTCCACTGCCTAGAGCATAGAGGCGAGAGTCAGTGCCTTTCCTTCCCCAGCGTTCAGTGGAACGTGAGGCACTCTTTATTGGCTTTCAGGCAATGGAAGGGGCTATTCCCACTACGCGCTAACTAGAAGAGCAGGAAAGAAATATGTCATGTCAGTTTCTGCCCTTATTCGTCTCCAATGCATCCCTATTCTCTGTGCGTCGGTGTGGCTATCTTCTCCTATTTCTTTTTTCCTTCAAAGGAATTTTTTCCATTTTTTTCTTTCAAAAGGCAAGGCTAAGCCATCCGCCCTTCATTGCAGGGGAAAAGGGGACACGGTTCCCAAGGGGTGGCTAGTTCGAGTAACAGAGACGGATACAGATAAGGTCCTTTTTCTGAGAGACCCGCTCTTGACTTTCATCATACCCACTAGTAAGCGCAGTGGATGCTCCTTCATACAGGGACAGAGAGGCGAGTGATGGGCACTACTCATCATAAATAAGAAAGCAGTAATGCAGATAGAAACGGTAAAACAATGACTCTGACTAAGTAAAGAGATTAGGTTTTTTTTATCATCTATTTTCCATACCACAGCTCTAGACTTGCCCCTATTCAAACTATGTTTCATTTATACCACCCTTGTGGGTTGTTCGCAATTAACATGAAAGACCCTTTCCAAAGGTGGAGTACCTTGGCCCGGGTAGGTGGTGCTGAGTTCCGTGTCCTTGGCAGGCTCGACCAGTAACCAATGGCGAAAACTCAAAAATCAATGGTTTCCCGGTAGAACCCCATTTCGCCCAAGTTGTTGCGAAACCGGAAAAAAGAAGCGGTTTTTCGCACAGCTTGCTCATAGTGCAGGTCCCACTTGTATATTGTATTTGGCCGAAGAAGCATCGGACAGGTTGGAGTTCTTACCTTATTGATTGGGACTCCATGGACCAAGATCTGCTTTCATTATATGGGCCGATCTACTTTAGTAGATCATATGGATGTAGAAAAAGCTTCTGATTTTGATGAATTGGAAACATCTCTTTTCCATTTTGATTTACCTAGTTCATATCTTTGTTTCGTGTGTTCCCGGGAGGAATTCGATCTCTTCCATCTCGGGATACCACCTAAATAACTGCTGCCAGAGAGTCAAATAGGTAGGGAAGAAAGAGTCTGAGGTCGGGTCGGACGACATACATCTTGGTTGGTTCCACCACCACTAGATATTGGACATATATATAGAATTATATAATATATAAATAAAAGAAGAGATTCTTTATAATTAATAAAGAATTCTATATATATTAGTTAAATAGCTGCAAGACCAAAACAGGGTGCAAAAAACCGAAAGCCCTTCTTTCTTTGAAGTTCCTCCCAGATACATGGCTTACATACCCGGCTCAACATTCTTGGAAAACAATCGAATCGAGGGTCCGGAAGAGAATTGGCCATTCAATCTTGTAAACTCATTGAGACCGCAATTGGAAAAAGAGATACGAACGGAGAGGAATAACCAATCGATGAAAGAACATGAAACCATTCTGTTTCAATAGAGGTACGAGAAACGGTTGGGGGCAATGAAGTAGGTGAAGTGGTTGGATTTTGCGAGCTGTTCCAACCACTGCTGGATTTGATTCCAAGAGCCAAACGAGAATGAATACCACACAGAAGAGTAAAGACCAGGCTCCCTAATGGAATGTTTAACCGATCCATTCCGGATCGACCGAATTGGTACGGAAGTTGTAACATGGGAAAACCACATAAAACAAAACTTATTTGAATAACCCGGTGACCTACCAATTGTAGAAGTAGGATCTTTGGCAAGCAATAAGCACTTAAATAATACAATTCGAGTGTACCATCTTCTTTCTCATTTCGAGGAAAAGGTGCGGGAGGAAAAGAAAACAACGAAGGGATCCGAATCGGACCTAAACGGGAATGACATGAAAAGTCTTTTTCAAAACCTAGTATTAAGGGCGTTACGACGATATACGAGAGGAATGGAGAAAAACTCGTGATTGGTGTGGAGGGGAAGATCTTTTTATTATATAGTTCAAGAAAGAGTCGTCTCATTTCCTTACATTAGCAATGGAAGATAAATAAAAGTCAATATCTGTTGTTTTTTTCACTTCAAAGAGTAGACTTCGCCAGGTTCGACTTGCCTGATCACTATGTGAATAAAGTCCTATGGGTGACTATGTATGGCAGTGCCGCCCTCGTCCATCTACTAAGAAGGAAGCCGACTCTTTGTCAAAGAATTCAAGATCCGGCCACTTCGGGTTCAGATTTTCAAGTCTGTTGACCAACTGTGTAATCTAAACTAGATAGAGGATTTGCAGTGGGCTCTTTCTTTGAAGCTGCTTTGGCAGATTCGCCTTTAAGCTGATCAGTCTCTATTATCTAACCCGCTTCTTCCTACTAAGCCAACTCTCTGATTGAAGAAAACTCTTTGCTCGAGATTAGCAATATGGAAAGTCTAGCAAGAAGGGTTTTTGAATAAATTCAGTTCAGCAAGTGACCTGTAGGGCTCCTGCCGCAAAAGAAGAAGAAAGGGCTTATCCCTCGGGTCAACACCAAGGCAAGATCGATGCTTATAGCCTTCGTGAAAGACGTCCAAAAGCATCAACAGCTTCTTCCTCTATAAGATCTGCTGCGGATGATATAGCTGCTCCTAGTCCGACAACTGGAGCAAGAACCAAGGATGGCACGTGCTTTCCTAAATCCATTTCACCGGGTGTTCACTCAAACTCCTTAATCATTGAATCCGGATCGGAAGGTGACTCCCCTAAGGCCTAAGGCTTACTCAGGTAAGACTTCTTACTTATCCCCTTTCATGCTCTAAGCGGGAGGCGGGTCAGCGAAGAAAGAAATGGCAATAAAGCCATCTCCGGTAGTCAATAAAAGCTGATCTACGACAAGCCTTCATCAATAGTTCAGCAACCAGAGCTACTAGGCTAGTAAAGACAAGGCTAATTACAAATTGGAAGTCCCTATCCGTAAATATTGAGTTCTCTAGACCGAGGCGCTAAGGATGAAAAGAAAAAAAAGGCTCGGTCGTAGTCGTTGGCTTAACGGTATGCTCGGTAACAATGACCAGTCATTAGTTAAGCTGGCTTGGCTTACGCTTCCTTCCCTCGAGGACAAAGACCCTATCCCTGCCCTAGGGAAGCAGCCTCAGGGGTAGCGCCATAGACTGTATCTTTGGCTTAGAGGTAGCTTCAACGGCTGAGCTGCTTAGGCTTTGTGTACCAGGAAAATGCATATTCTAAATTGTGAAAGTGGCATCTTTCTTTCAGACTGCTTTACTTAGGATGGAGTCCTTGCTTAGCCGAGCTGGAAGCTTCTAGGCGGGCTGAGAATCCTCTTCTTTTTCTTCCGGGAATTAAGTAGAGGATCCCGGCTTCCCTATCTGATGATTAGGATGATGCCTGAACTGGAACTGGTGGAATCCCTACTAGTCACCGATGTTGGTGCCTTTTCTGCTCTTGTCGGAGTAGCTACTCTTGGTGCTTTTGGCTTAAGGAAGCAAGTAAGCTGAGGGAGTTCTGTGGTGAAGGACTACGCGCTGCTAATGTCCACATTCGGTCGGTCTTCAAGTGAGTGAGTGGCCTTCAGAAGACGAGAAGGTTTAGAATCCTATTGTTACAATACCTATTGTTGTTGGAATATCCGTTGCTTTCGTTACCGGTCTTCTTCTTTGGCTAACTGTTTCAGTAACCGTTGTAAGCCTATCTGCTGTGAGAGTTGCCGCTGTTGGCATAGAGGCTCTTACTGTGATCGTAGAAGCTCCTATTGAAGAAGCTGCACATTCATCTCTAGTAGAGGAGCTTGTTCTCGAAGACCCTCTTGCTGCAAGAAAAGAAGGGGTTGCTATTGAATCGTCTGTGAACGAATCTGCTGCTAGAAGGGCCCCATCAAAGGAAACTGCATTCTCTCGTCTAGATCGCTTCCCAGCTTACTCAGGAAATCCACTCCCTTCCTCACTGGCCTAGCCCTTACATAGAACTGCATAGTGTTAAAAAAGTCCTCCAACTGACTCACAGGGAACTCGCAGGGACCCCATTCGATCGTATCGCCTATGACTTCTTATCCGGAGAAGGAGACAGAAAGAATCCCACCAAGACTGGTATACATCTATTAATAGTAGTCCTTTGAGGCACGTTACATTCGTTACGCTCCTTAGCTCGGTAGGGGGTACAAGAGTTAGCTCGTTTGGATCGGAGTGAACCGAAAAGGGAATGTATTCAATATGCGAGTAAGAAGATTCATT